GTGTGTATCTATAATCTATATCCGTTTCCTTTCTTATTAAAATGTCAGCCCTTCCTCTTGTGAAAGATCAGTCCCAAAACGTGTTCTGGATGTCATCCTCTTTCATTTTGTCCAGGGTGCCACCCTGCCACCACTGAAACTTTGACCATGCTCAACAGTGATATCTGTGTTGGCATATCCACTGGACAGATTTTTGTTCTTAACCTGAGACCCCAGCTGCATTGACCTAATCGACCAGGCCTTCCTCCTGGAAACACTCTGCTTTGCTTTTATGTGCCCACAGACTCATGCTTCTTCCATCACTTCTCACTCAGTTGTCATTGCTAGTTCCTCATCCTATCCAATCTGTAGATGCAGAAGCTCCTTACAGGTTGGTCCTGTCCCTTTCCTTTCTCCTATTACACACCCAGTGATATTGTTATCCATTGCTTTGATTTCACATATTATCTATATGCCTTCCCAAGTTTATATCAATAGCTGAGACCTTTTTTCTGAACTCCATACTCACATATTCAGCTGCTCTTCATAGGTACTCTAGTATTTCTCACTGCCATCTTGAACATAAAAAAAAAAACTTCTTCAGATTCCTATCTTTTTTACTTTTCCCATTCTGGCAAACGGTACCACCAACACACAGTTGTTCAAGGCAGAACCTAGAAATTATTTTTGATACCTCCTTCTCCTTTATCCTCCACTTACGTCTAATATATTACCAAGTCGTAGTTGTTCTAGGACAAAGGACCTCTCATTTGTTTACTGGTTTCTCTTTTACCAAGTTGGCAGCCTTTTATGAAATTAAAAGCGCTCAGGCTTCCTTCTTCCAGTGAGAAGATGAGCCAGGTGAGTGTTTGCAGGCAGGCTACTCCCTGCAAAATTAATCTGGGCACTATCTGCAAGTATGTTTACCATAAAATAGACTTAAAACTTTTGAGACAAATGTAAATCATCACCATTAGAATACATAGTTAAAGCACTTATAGAAGGTCTTATAAGCAACGCAGCTTTCCAGTATACTCTTCAAGATGAAGTTGATGTTAAAAGTACATAAAAGAAAGTAAAGGAAGTATAAAATAGTTAAAAGTTGCGGACTCCCACCAAAAATGATAGTTGTTTTAGATTACAGGTTCCTAGTGGCACCTGGGTGACCTCAGTCGGTTAAGTGTCTGGCTCTGGATTTCAGCTCAGGTCATGATCTCGCGGTTCGTGAGTTTGAGCCCCACGTGGGGCTCTGTGCTGACAGCTCAGAGCCTGGAGCCTGCTTCAGGATTCCGTGTCTCCCTCTCTCTCTACTCTTCCCCTGTTCATACTCTGTCTCTCTCTCAAGAATAAATAAACATTAAAAAAAAATTTAAATGAATCTGGTTTTGTAGTGTAATTCATAGAACTTAATAGCTGGAGGGGATGCTAGAGTTTCTTTTGCTCATTTTACAGGTGACTTTGATCCCTGGAAAGGCCGTGCAAGGCAAAAGAGGACCCCGGATTTTTGACTGTACAACCCACAGTTTCTTTGTTTTAATGTTTATTTACTTTTTGAGAGTGAGAGAGAGAGAGAAACAGAGTGTGAGCAGGGGAGGGGCAGAGAGAGAGAGGGAGGGAGACAGAATCTGAAACAGGCTCCAGGCTCTGCACTATCAGCACAGAGCCTAATGCAGGGCTTGAACCCACGACCCATGAGATCATGACCTGAGCTGAAGTCAGACACTTAACTGACTGAACCACCCAGGCGCCCAAACGCAGAGCTGGTTTAATATAATAAAGACCTATGAAGGAAAGTTACTATAATAGAAGAAAAGTAGCAGAGTTTAGGGATTCTGTTCCTCAAAGGAATGTAGAAGGAGAACCTTAAAATTCACCTGGTAAGATACATCCCCAGAAGAAGCCCCATGATTAGACAATTTTGTAACAATTAAAAATGTGAAGCAATGAAAGAGGATACAAAAATCTAAATGCGATTTGAATGCTTGAGGCAAATCTTAAAGATTTCCTGGATTGGGGATCATAAAAATATTAGAAAAACAAAAATTTTGGGTTTACTTTCTCTATGTGGATACACAGTTGAGAAAGAATGTTAGATTAAATAGAGTTGGTAAATGCCACTAAATGCCATTAAATATAAATTTAAGTATGTAAGGTAAAACTATAACATAAGCTTCCCACATTTATCTGCAATATTTTTTTTAGTTATGTTTCCTTAGCAGTCATTTCTTTTTCCCTTTGCTGTCTTTGAGACTTAGGCAGACCTGTCTTCTTATAAGTCAAACATAATAAATACCATTAAAACAAAGTGAGATAGATTTATAAATACTAATCTAGGAAGATGTGTACAAAATAGTATATTGGCTAGCTTTCTGTTGCTATTTAACAAATTGCTACTAATTTAGTGGCTTAAATTAATAACACAGACTTATTATTTTGCAACTCCTTAGGTTAAAAGTGTAACACCAGTCTTGCTGGGCTAAAATCAAGGTGTCAGCAGGGCTGCTTTCTTTTCTGGGGGCTCATGGAGAGAATCTGTTTCCTTGCCTTTTCCAGCTTCTAGAGGCCACCCCCATTCTTTGGCTTATGCTCCCCACCTTCCCTTCTTCAAAGCCAGCAGTGAAGACTCTCTGACATGTTTCCTTCATCAACTCTCTTTCTCTCTCTCTTTCTCCTTTTGTCTCCCTCTTCCACTTTTAAGGATGTTTGTGATAACAACGCAGATAACCAGGGTAATCTCCCTCTCTTAAGGTCAGCTGATTAGCAACCTTAATTCCCCTTTGCCCTTAACCTAACTTATTCACAGGTCTGGGCATTAGGATGTGGACATCTTTGGGAGCCATTATTCTGTAGCATATATAGTATTTATATTGCCTAGTATTTATAGTTATTTACTATAATGAAAGTTTCAGAACAGTTTCTATGGTTTTAATTCCATTTGGATTTGAAAAAAATGTGGTGGTAAAAAAAAAATATGGCATAAGATGAAAACCACGTTAAGAAATCTTTGTATTCAAAAAATGTGGCACTAAAAGAGGAAAAAGGTTGACTGTTTTATTCACTTCGCTAAAAGGTTCTCAACATTTTTGATTGTCAGGTAGTAGGATAAAATCCACTTTACATCCAGTGAATCAGTGATGGGAGGCAAAGTGTGCTTGTGCACTTCCACACCCTCCCAGAGGAGTTCTCTGCTTTTTACCTGGTACTGTTTAACTTTAATCAAGGGAGCAGTTAGTTACTCCTTGATCTCTGACAGATAAGCACAGGTTAGATCTGTCTTCAGAATTTCTCTGTAAACCGTGAACTGTACATTTTAGTAAAAGCTAATCATCATCACACACAAGGCATAGTACCACTTAATCATCATATTTATTAAATTAATACATTTATTAAATCTATTCAGGTATATGTTCTGTTTACATGGTACCCTTCCCAACTTTGAATGATTCACCATCTTTCTAAAATAAGCATTAGGTAGAGAGTAATTTCCTCCAGATATACAGATGGTAAACGGTAAGAATTCACAGGCAACCTGGAGTAAACAGATGGCTCTTACATCACTCCTGCTGGTGTGGGCTGTTTTCAGACTACAGTGACCATGCCATATCCTTTGCAGAAAAACCATACATTTGGCCCGAGTATTTTTATGGTTCTCACAAATAAAACATCATTGCCTATATTTTCATGATTTTTTTGGTACCCTTAACAATGTGAATTTTTAGTTGAATGCTTTGAGCATTTTTGTCTGCTTGTTTATTTTCTGTCTCTTCATTAAACAATGAGTTTCTAGGGGCGCCTGGGTGGCGCAGTCGGTTAAGCGTCCGACTTCAACCAGGTCACGATCTCACGGTCTGTGAGTTCGAGCCCCGCGTCGGGCTCTGGGCTGATGGCTCAGAGCCTGGAGCCTGTTTCCGATTCTGTGTCTCCCTCTCTCTCTGCCCCTCGCCCGTTCATGCTCTGTCTCTCTCTGTCCCAAAAATAAATAAAAACGTTGAAGAAAAAAAAAAAAATTTAAACAATGAGTTTCTAAACTGATGGGTCATGATATTCGTGCCATAATTTTCATATAGCTCTTTACTATTAAATGGCGGATTTTGAGACGCTATTTTATTTTTTTAATTTATTTTGATAGAGAGCAAACAAAGGTGGGGTAGAGAGAGAGGGAGAGTGAGAGAATCTCAAGCAGGCTCTGCACCACCAGTGCAGAGCCCCATGTGGGGCTCGAACTCATGAACCTTGAGATCATGACCTGACCTGAAATTAGGAGTTAGATGCTAAGTGACTAAGCCACCAGGTGCCCCTGAAACATATTTTAAAATCCAAATTTCTTTCTTCCAGCCCTTTGGACTGTGGTTTTGAATGGAGGTTGATATGTGGAAAATACTGCTAGTTCCAATAAATAGAAAAGATTCTAATTTTAATGGTGTGATTTTTTTTTTTTTGCGTGTGTGTGCATTGCTGAAAAATGTAAATTAAAGCTACCTGAGTCTGAAACATTACTGAAGAGATTTTAGAAATTCTTTCCCAATTGGTATTTACATGTTCATATGTTCCAGAAGCATTTTAAAAGTAACCTTAATGTATATGAAATGAATATTTAACACTGAGTTTTCAGATTGAACTTCCTTCTTTATACTAAAAGCCAAAACCTGTTGCCTGACAAAGTACATCTTAATCGTAGGTAGTCTTTTCTTCCTTTGACATTATATTTGGTGGTCAATAGGCATTTTTATAAGCTCAGTGGGCAGGCTCAGTCTAGATATTCAACTTTGGCAGGCGGGATATGAAATAGTTGAAATAGTTTCACTGCATATTTATTGCCCAGTGAATGTGCACTTGTTAGAGGGTTGTCCTTTTTTTTTTTTTTTTTTTTTTTTTTTTTTTTTTTTTTTAATCTGAGAAATGAAGTAGCAAAATATTCTTTCATTGCTCTTTGTGCTTACCTGTGTTTTGCCATTTAGGTCTTTATATGCCTTTTGCAAAAAAGAAATGATTTGGTGATGGAGTGCTGCTGCCCCTGACCGATGGACTCAAAGAAGAGAAGGTAAAACCATTTTTTCCTTCTCCCTTATCCTTCTAGGAAAACGCAAACGATTCTACATATGTGTAGCTTCTCTTCAGTTTAATTTCTTGTTCGTGGTTAATAAGTAGGAATAGTGACATTTGTGTTGATTGGTAAAGAGAGAAAGATACTAAAATAAAGCTGATTAATGATCAGCTTTGTTGCTAGTTTCTTTCTTATGCTTATAAAAAGGCACGAGGTGTCTTCATCATCTTAAAGCTTTTGAAGCCATTTTTTCCCACAATTTTAGATCTTCAGACAAAGCCTTATTAATTTTAATCATCTTCTATCCCTAGAAAACTAGTCATGGATGATATTTAAAAAGGAGGATTAAGTTTGTGGCTTTCCTTTCATAAAACCATGGTTATGCCTAATCATAATTTAGAGGAATATTACCTAGCAAAAATAGAGAAATCCCTAGGTATTATAAAATAAATAAAACCATAAAAGTTTCTGCGCCTCATTAAAAAATTAGCACTAGTGTTCTAGAAAAAAAGAAAATGAAAAAGTATCATCAGTGGCAAGACAGGGAAACTTGGTGTAAAGGAAATCTAGGGTATTTTATTATGCCTCTTTCTTAGAAGGGGAGGCAATTATAGTATGGTTATTATTATGAAGTTGTATGTTTTATGTTCTTTGCACTAGAGTCATCACATGGATAGAATTCTTTGGCTAAAACATGAGTAAAGCACGCAGAGTTTTACTGTTGCTGGTATAAATTTGATTCTTAAAAATTTGAATAGCAATTATAGAGCTTACTCAGTGTAACGTAAAATATGGATCACTGTTCCTTTTTACCAGATACTTTTTAGTACATTAAAAACTAAAATTTTAAAGTAAGACTTCAACTTGGGACATGCTGTAACTTTACTATCTAAACAAGGACTTAATATATTGAGAAGTTAGAATCTTAAGATTTTGTGCTATTAAATCTAAAACTTCAAAAAATAGCCCAGATTTTGTTTGCTCCTTAGATAGAGTTAAGTAATTTGTGGGTTTAGATTGTCCTCAAGCGTTTTATGTAAACAGTTGTTTTATTTCTGCCCCTGTGTCCTAAGCAAAGCATTAAATAGGTGCTAAACCATCTGACCCAGTCACCTGTGCCAGTAAAAGGTACAGATCTAATGAAATATCCCCCCAAAATACAGTTTTAATTACAGGAACAATTAAGTGGTTTTTCTTAATGTTTGTAGCTCAGTAGAGGCAGAAGGATCCAAAGAAAGAGGCCTGGTCCATGTCTGGCAGGCAGGATCCTGTTCTTTAGCACCAGAGAGATTGCCAGGCTGGGGAGGAAAGACTGTTCTTCAAGCAGCCCTGGGAGTGAAACATGGAGTTCTTCTGACTGAAGGTATTGAAAAGTGTGGCTTAACAAATACGAACTGAAATGCTAACAATACCTGGGTGTGTAAGGGAGTTACTGGACAATACCTGGGTTAGGTAAGGGAGTTACTGGATACCAGGAATTCTTAATGAAGTTCGTCGGAGCTTAGACGTTTTTTGTTTTCAAGATATGTCCTTACTTCCTTTATCAGAAATCAGAGTAGTTCTTAAATTTGAGATACATTATAACTAGAATAAAAGGGAGAATTATAGTTTGTAAATTTTATAGCAATAAGTACATGAAAAATTAACTTTTGAAACATTCAGAAACTCTTTTGTTGGACCTTTGTTCATTAAATGTGTCAGAATGATAATGCTAATGATAACTAACGTTTATTAAACAGTGATGCGTGCCAGGCACTGTACTGAGCACTTTATGTGTCTTACCTGATTGAGTCTTCACACAACCACCTTATGAGGTAGCTAGTGTTGTTGTCCTCACTTCGCAGATGAGGAAGTTGAAGGTTAGGGAGGTTAAATAATTTCCACAAGCCCACACAGCTATTGGAGTGTCAGAGTCAGGATTGGAATTCAGAGAGTCTGATTCCAAAGCCTTTTTTTAAGCTGCTTGGCTGTCTTGTCTCAGTACAGTTTTTCTTAGACATAAACAGCAGCTCATAAAAACATGTAATAAAATAAATCTATAAGAGATAGAAGCATAGGTTATAGTTTATAGAGTTGCCTTTAATTTTGATAGCAGTTTACCAACTCAATCATGGCAAATTTGGTTTGAGCTGGGACTGCCATCAACTAATTTATAAATTTCTGTTCCATAAGCATTTATTAAGTAGTTGATAATGTTTTGATATTTTCATTGTAGGAACTAAAGGAAAACAAATTCTAAGAAATAAAGCTTAAATCTGACCTTGGTAATTTTATGGGATACACATGGAATTCTTTCTAGCCTCTTCTTTTCTTTTTCTTTTTTTTAACTTTTTAATTTATTTTTGAGAGACAGAGACAGAGCTTGAATGGGGGAGGAGCAGAGAGAGAGGGAGACACAGAATCCCAAGCAGGCTCCAGGCTCCGAGCTGTCAGCACGGAGTCCGATGTGGGGCTCAAACCCACAAGCCATGAGATCATGACCTGAGCCAAAGTCGGACACTTAACCGACTGAGCCACACTGGCACCCCAGCCTCTTTTTTATTATATCACTTTCATTGTAATGATATACAATAAGAATATTATTATTAGGCCAGAATTTGGAAAAGGCCTTATTGTAAAAAAAGTGAACTGTTTTCAATACCTACTGTAGGGGCTTCAAAATACACAGTTCTCAAGCATGTGCAAGTAGAATTCTCTTGTTGTTTAATTAACTCTTCAGTAAGAGATTCAGGAATCCTTTATGAATGTGATCTTTAAACCTCTAGAATCATACCTAAAAGTGGGACAACAGAGGGAAAACATCTAAAAAATATAAATTGCCTATCATTGTTCATGTTTAAGCAGTGTCCTAGTCTTAAGTGTCAAAGTTACAAAAAAGATCTCATCTCACATAAGTGTGTAGTTTGAAATGGGAAAAAGATCTCTAGTGGTATCTTTTCCAGATGAGAAAATGGTACTTATGGAATGCTGGAAATGTTCAAGCTGCTTTGTCTCTATTCAGTTTGACTATTAGCTCATAATTCAGTGAGGACACTTCATTAAATCACTATTTTTGAGGTACTCCAGGTAGAAAAAAGGGAGGAGTTTGTCTAAATATTTCTGTGCACTATTTCTCGTTCTAGTGGAATGATAATCATTGAAAGAGTTGGTGAACTGTTGCAAGTGTGTATTGCTGTATCTTTTGGGAAGAAAAGTTTAAAAGAACTTAATTAATGAGCTTATTTTCTCAGTATTTTTTATCCAAACTGGAAATTCCCTAATAAAAGCTCATGTGTTCCCTCTAGCCACTTTTGTGTTCTTTCTTACATAGATGTTCTGGTGAGTTAACTTGAGTGTATAAATATATTTGCTATTTTTGCCATGTATAATAGGCCCAAGATAAAGAATGCATTTTATTCATCATCAGCTCAATTGCTGTTTTGTGGGGGAACAAACTCGTATAAATTTATTTCATTATTTCCTTATTAATTAAAAAAAAATGGATGAGTCTATGGTTATATGGAAAAGGAGGGATAGTCGGCGTGGCTTAGTATTTTTCAAAACCCACGGCCAAGTCTTTATTTCCATTTGAGTTTTTTAGGTAATACAGGTCATGTGCACATGCCCCTAAACTACCACAATACTTCAGAGAGATTACGACTTGATAGCACACCTGGACAGAAACAAGTCCTCATCATTCATGTGCCCAACTCACGGGCCCCTTTACTTGACTTTTAAAGCCAGCCAGTTGCCCTTTGTTCTAAAGCTAGCTAATCATAGTTTTATTGGGGATTTTTTGCTTGTTTTATTTTGTTGTGATGATTTGCTTTTTAAACAAATGGCACCTCAGAAATGCTATATCATACACAATGTATATTCTGTGTAATATTTAAAATTATACATGGTATTCTACACGACATGAAGACAACCATGTCTTCATGGTTCAACTGGTGCTTTCTTATGACCTGGAAGTATAAAGCTGATTTCTTAATTTTGGCCAAAATAAACCTCTAGTATTTTTATTCTAGTGCATAATTTTCTGCTGCTCTGACCTATTCAAATAGTAGTGAATGTTTTAGATGTTAGTGAATGTATCTATTTTATTCCCTGCTCATTTTATCTTATCATGGTCATTATTTTGTCTTTGAACACTTGGAAACTGCTCCTGTAATAGCCTACAATGGTAGCCATTTGTAGTGGATCCATTCTAGGACTTTGTAGGATGAGGCTGAAGGAAAGGAATAATAACCCTTCATTTTCATTTGAAAGTAGTCTCCTCCAGTTGGTAGAATTCTCATTATTTTTCAGAATGTTACAAGGTGATATTTGTTAGAAGATGAATACCTGTGGAATATTCTATGCTTGAACCAAATTCTCTACAACTGTGCTTTTGAAAATTAAAAAAAAAAATCAGCAACAACCCTATTTTGTTAAACCTAGAGGGGCCAGAAGTTTGCTGATAAAATTTCTAGTTAATTCACTAACTCCTTCCTTTTTTTTTCTTTTTGTAACCTTCAGATGGTGAGGTCTACAGCTTTGGGACTCTTCCCTGGAGAAGTGAACCAGCAGAGATTTGTCCGAGTAGCCCCATTCTAGAAAATGCCCTGGTCGGACAATATGTTGTTACTGTGGCATCAGGGAGTTTCCACAATGGAGCAGTGACAGAAAGTGGCGTAGTGTACATGTGGGGGGAGAACTCTGCAGGCCAGTGTGCAGTGGCTAACCAGCAGTATGTTCCAGAACCAAATCCTGTCAGCATTTCTGATTCTGAGACCAGTTCTTTGCTAGCAGTCAGGATTTTGCAGCTGGCATGTGGTGAGGAGCACACTCTGGCATTGTCAATAAGCAGAGAGATTTGGGCATGGGGTACCGGTTGTCAGTTGGGTCTCATTACCACCACCTTCCCGGTGACAAAGCCACAAAAGGTGGAACATCTTGCCGGGCGAGTGGTGCTACAAGTTGCCTGTGGTGCGTTCCACAGCTTAGCGCTTGTACAGTGCCTCCCTTCCCAGGATCTAAAGCCAGTCCCAGAAAGATGCAACCAGTGCAGCCAACTCTTAATTACCATGACTGACAAAGAAGACCATGTGATTATATCAGATAGTCATTGTTGCCCATTAGGTGTGACACTGTCAGAATCCCAGGTAGAAAACCAGGCCAGCACTGCCATCAGCCCCTCCACTGAAACCCTGGACAACCAGGGAGAAGTATTTGAGAATACGCTTGTAGAAAATGATGTGCCTGTTGCTACCGACGCCACGAGAGGTGATGCCATTTCCTCCCAACAAGACACCATGGGAACAACTGAAATTTCTTCTGCCAGAAATACACCATCTTACCCTGATACTCAAGCAGTAAATGAATACGTGCAAACACTGTCAGATCGTTCAGTAAGAGAGAACTCAGAGAACGGTGAAAAGCCAATGCCATCTCAGGTACCTGCTAAATTTTGTAATACAAAGGCATTTCTGGAGTTAAACCATCTGAAGTTTTATTTGTTTCTTTGTTTTTTGGCAACTTTAAAATGCTTAAGGCTTGAGTTTGACTATAAATCTGTTTTATCATGCAATCCTAAATAAGGAAAACCTGGATTAATTCAGAATTACTTTTTATGTTCAAATTCTGCCCTTTAAGATATTGAAAGATATCATGCTAGGCTTCTTTTATAAGTAGCAAAATTTCATTTATTTTTTTCTAGTACTTCTTCTCCCATGGCTAAATATACTGAATTTTGGTGGGCTCCTGGGAACTGTTTTTGGTTTTGTTTTTTCTGAATACTTAAAATTTTTTTTTTTAACGTTTATTTATTTTTGGGACAGAGAGAGCATGAATGGGGGAGGGTCAGAGAGAGAGAGAGAGAGAGAGAGAGAGAGAGAGAGAGGGAGACACAGAATCCAAAACAGGCTCCAGGCTCCGAGCTGTCAGCACAGAGCCCGACGCGGGGCTCGAACTCACGGACCGAGAGATCATGACCTGAGCCAAAGTCAGATGCTTAACCGACTGAGCCACCCAGGTGCCCCTCTGAATACTTTTAATATAACTATATATTTGCAAAGATTCATCTCACCTGTACTGTATTAACTCCAGATTCTGTAGAGAGAAGTCCTTTTCTTTTTTATTAGGGAAGATTACTATGTGGTAGATCCCTCAATTGTAGGCAAACTTAAAACCTCCTGGCATTAAATATTGTTTGAATTTTTTTCAGCTTACTGGGCTTTGTTGTGGGGCAGGGCATTAAAATTTTCTTCATCTTATTTAAACTACTGTCATTTTGAAAACTTATAAATGGAGGAAAGCTATTTACCAGTAGCATACAGTAACATTGGAGTCTCCCTGATTAAACCAAATTGTTTTAAAAGGATAATTTGTTTTTTACTCTTTGTGTAAGTCTTTCAGGTTTGTTTTTACCAGAACTCTAAGAAAACGAAACAAAACAGAAACCTCTAATCATAAAAGAACTGTCCTGTGGTGTTTATTCAGGTTTTTGAAATCACATACCTCTTCATTGTTTATTCGTGTTCTTTACTCTGTCAGGATAAGAACATGGCTTAGAGGTATTTTTAGAAATAGTTTTTATTTCACAGTTTACTCATTGAATCTTGTGGATATCGATTTTTTTTTTTTTAATTAAGCTGTTTGGAGAAAGGTATTATTCAAATCTAAACAGAAACATTCTTAGACTTGAACATGCTTATAAAAAATTTGGACTTTGACTTTTTAGAAGTCGTTCTGCTAATTTATTAAATTTGAAGTTAAAAGTTAATTGTATAGTTTATTATTATTGAAATTGCATTTTCCTTTGGATATATTTTGTTAAATATGTAAATTTTTTGTAGCCTATGCTAATTTTGGCAATGTCTGTTTATATTAAATTTAATTCAGTTTTTGTAAATAGTATCTCAATCATACAGGTAATTCACTAAGAATTTATATAGTCTAGGACAGGTTTTTTCTCCCATGGCCAGATGTAACCAAAAGACTGTCTCATTTTTGTAAAATAAATCATATTTGGCATTGAAGCATATATCTCACAATTGAATTTTATTGATTGACCAGGACTCCTAAAATTATGTCTTTCATCAAAATTACTGGCTATGTATTTTTGTTTTGTTGATTTATTTATTTTATGTGTTGCTAAATATAAGTAGAGGAGCCAGTAAGAACAATAAAGTTGATTGAAGGTAGACTTTCCTCGGTCTCTTGGTAAGAACCCCCTATGATAGTCACCTAAATACCATCATTGTTTCTATTACGATCCTTCTTACACAAAGGGTAAAAATAGTGACCTTAGTTCTTCTCAGCAAGTTATCAGGGAACTGTATCACCAAGGGATTAATAGGCTTTGTATTTACCTTTTGCTTGATACGGTCTATTTGTTTATTTTGTTGACTATTTTAAAGAGTCCTTTGCTCCTCTGAATTTAGTATCTAATTCAGCAAAATGTATTGAGTACCTAAGGTACTGTGCAGGCAACAGGAATTATTTCCTTTAAGAGAACCATAAGTCGATGTTAAAAATTTTGTTTGTGTTTGGCTTTCAATTTAGGACTAATTGAGGAATGTGTATATACACCCTTTGGGACCTTCTGACAGCATAAGAGGGAAATTTTTCATTGTGAGCTATGCTGACAAGCCAAAAGCTTTTTTGTGTGTTTAATGACTTTCCTTTAAGTAAACAATGGTGCTTGAGTAAGTTTTAAGTGGTGTTCAGAGTAAGTTTCAACTGAGCTTTTACTAAGATATTAGAAAACTTTAGTTTGACTTTCAAATACAGCTGTGAATAACACAAAGAACATTGGTCCCAAATGTTTAATTATTAACCTACCACATTTACTCTATCATAGTGAGAGCAAAAGTAATCTGTCAGCTTAGATAGGTCCTGGATCATGGAAAATAACACATCCATGAGGCAGCAGAAAGACTTGAACTGAAGAACAGAAGCTGGGGGGCAGATAGGTCAGAGGTATAACATTTTTTTTTTTTTTGCCTTTATTTTATTTTACTTTATTTTTTTTAAATTTTTTTTTCAACGTTTATTTATTTTTGGGACAGAGAGAGACAGAGCATGAACGGGGGAGGGGCAGAGAGAGAGAGGGAGACACAGAATCGGAAACAGGCTCCAGGCTCTGAGCCATCAGCCCAGAGCCTGACGCGGGGCTCAAACTCACGGACCGCGAGATCGTGACCTGGCTAAAGTCGGACGCTTAACCGACTGCGCCACCCAGGCGCCCCTTTTTTTGCCTTTATATGCTGTATCTAAATTACTATTTATAAAACATTTTAGGAAAAGCTTTTTTTAATGTATTTTTTCTGTATTTCTTAGTAGCAATCTGTATAAATGTTCTTGAAACTCATCAATAATAATATTTTTTAAAATTTATTTTATGTATCGTTAACCCTATCACCCTTATATATCCAGGGCTGTCACAGTGCACCTCATATTAAAGGCTATGTTTTCCAGACCTTTCTTCCCCTCTCTGCTTCTGTGCTCAATGTTATTAAAGCAGCTGGGGCTTACGTTTGAATAGCATGGAAAACCACAACACTCAAACAAAAGGAAGTACTTTTGATAAGGAGCTGTATTTTGAGTACTCCTATCCATATAATGTATTAGTTAAATCCAGTACCAAGAAGGGATACCTTTAAGTTGAAGTTAAAGAGACCTTTGTTTTAGAGTCTTATGTTTGCAAATATGGATGGTTTTGGTTAAACTTTATACTGATTGCTGATTGTATAAGAGATTATATTTTTATATACTTTTTTGTGTGTATATTTTAGCCTCTTGTAGAAGAAGCAGTTCCTAATCTTCACAGCCCACCAACCACAAGCACCTCAGCCCTAAACAGCCTAGTAGTTTCTTGTGCATCTGCTGTTGGTGTGAGAGTGGCTGCTACATATGAAGCCGGGGCCTTGTCCCTTAAGAAAGTTATGAACTTCTATAGCACAGCCCCTTGTGAACCTGGAATTCAGGCAGGCAGTAGTTCCATAGGCCCGGAAGGTCTGAAAGATAGCAGAGAAGAACAGGTTAAGCAGGAATCAATGCAAGGAAAGAAAAGTTCAAGTCTTGTGGATATCAGAGAAGAAGAATCAGAGGGAGGCAGCCGAAGACTCTCCCTCCCTGGGTTGTTGTCCCAAGGTAAGGAAATAGTCACGTTTTGTAAACTGACTTTTGGTAAATCCAAAATGTTGCTGACATCATGTGCTATATTATAATAAATTAGTAACTTTCCAGATTGCTAAAGCTGGCATATTCAAATGTCAGAATTTATTTCATTTTGGTATTTAGGTGGTTTTAAAAGAAAGTTACATATTTTTCTGCTTTAGAAGTAACTGTAGAAGCTAATTTTTTGTGTGTGATGTCTGCTTCTGCTTATGAACCTTATTAGGAATCTTATTTTATTGTTCTCGAATGTAGCGATAGCCTCCTTATATCATAGTTGGGGCCTATAGTCCAGATAGATGAAGGTGCAGATGTGGCCATTGGGTAAGTAGGGATTTACTGTATTTGACCTAAAAGTGGAAATAATTTTAGGCTTCAATAAGAGAAAATTTCATTTTCGGATACAATTAGCAATAAACGTCTTCTAATATTAAGACTGTTAAGCAGTTGGTTCTTCAGTGTTTCTCAGTTGGTTCAGGAATCTCAGTCATTTAGGTTTTTGCTTCTGAAAATGTGACCTGCACCAGAAACAACAGCAGCATCTGGGAATTTGTTAGAAATGTAGGATCTCAGACTTAACTTCAAACCTGTTGAATCAGAATATGCATTATAACAAGATCCTCAGGTGACTAGCGTATACCTTAAAGTTTGAGAAGCATTGGGTTTACACCAGGAGTTGGTAAACTTTTTCTGTAAAGAGCTAAAAAGAAATACTGTATGATTTACGGGCCACACAGTCTGCGTTATATAATAACTCAACTTTGCCATTGTTGCTTAAAACTATCCATAAACAATACATAGATAAATGAGCAAGGCTATATATTCCAATAAAACTTTATTTACAAAACAGACAGTGGACTATTTTGGGCAAAGCTCTAAAAGTTTCTAGACTATACTAAAACTTTTCTGCTCTGCCCTGTTTCTTGCACTTCCACTTACTTGTGGCACTGTTGTGTCAATGAGCACTTCTATTGTCCTGCCTTCCAATTCTCATTGCCCCTAGATTTTCATCTACACAAATAAAGGACATTTCTGTTTTGAAATGGGAAAAATATTTGTCAGCCTTAGTGTAGTATTTTGTAAAGCATATTCTTTAGAATGCAAGTTCCCCAGGATATCTCATAGACTTTCTATATAACCTAAATGTTATACAAAAAGGGATTCTGTAGCCAAATGCTTGGAAGTGGGGCTAAGTTAAGTTTAAACAAGTGTTTTAATTGCAGGACTTGTCAGGGCCTTTAGCATGCTAATGTGTGTGAATCTACAGGGGGATATAATGTAGTAGACAGCATTTACCAAACTCATCTGACTATTAAATCTCCATAGAATTTCCTTCACAAAAACCGTGTTAGTGTATTTCTTTGAAAACCAAGAGTTGGTCAAAATGGTATCTTTTTTCCCACCCATCTACTCCCTCACTTCATCTCTGATTTGTTTTCAGTTTCCCCCAGGCTCTTAAGAAAAGCTGCACGGGTAAAAACTCGGACAGTGGTTCTGACCCCTACGTACAGTGGAGAAGCAGATGCACTCCTGCCTTCTCTGAGAACGGAGGTGTGGACCTGGGGGAAAGGGAAGGAAGGACAGCTGGGGCACGGTGATGTTCTGCCTAGGTAAGTGCTGCCAGTATTTACTATTAGGAGTTGGCTTTAAGGTCTCTATATCACCATTTCCTCCAGAGGAAATCCTGTCCCTTCTAGCTCCAGGTTATTATATATTATTAATAGGGATTTAAAACAACAGCAAACCTGTCATGTTAGTCTTGAATTTATACGTAACAGTAAAGGACTTAAGTATCCATGGTGTACCTTTCCATCTCTTCTTTGATGTGTATTCATCTTGGAACAGAAAGGGATGTTTGGGATAAGATTGTATTTCATTGAGGGGCACCTGAGTGCCTCTGGCAGTTAAGTATCCGACTTCTGCTCAGGTCATAATCTCATGGTTCATGAGTTCAAGCCCCACATTGGGCTCTGCAATGACAGCTCAGAGCCTGGAGCCTGCTTCAGAGTCTGTGTCTCCACACCCCCCCTCCCCCGCCCCCCCTGCACTGTCTCTCTTTCTCTCAAAAATAAATAAACATGAAAAAAAAGATTGTATTTCATTGGAACACTTGAATAGTTCAAATTTTTAATGTATAAAAAAGAACCAACAAATTTTTTTTTACTTGAAAGATGTTCCTCTGCTGCCACCAAAATAACTGTAATAGCAATATTAAACCATTCATGTAGTTCAAGGAAAAACTGTTGTTTTAAGAACTCATGATATTAACAGATCAGATATTTATGAAGGTGTGTAAATGGAGTGATTATCTAAAACAGCCAATTAATGTAAATGTCTCTATTCTTAGCAGAGTGACGGCAATTGTGGAATTAAAAAAAAAAAAAAGAGTTCCCTCTATGGTTGTATTGTATCCTAAATTTTATTGTGTTTCTGCCGTAATGAATCATTTAGTAGTCTTTTGATTCTTAACATTCTGAATTATGATTGTTAATTGGTGATTGATTGACAGAGATTAAATTAAAACCATCTAAGATAACTGATACTATTCAGAAGTAAATTGAATATATATTCGGTATTTTAATTTTTTAATTGTTTTTTTATGTTTATTTTTGAGAGAGAGAGCGTGAGCATGGGAGGGGCAGAGAGAGAAGGAGACACAGAATCTGAAGCAGGCTCCAGGCTCTGAGCTGTCAGCACAGAGCCCGATGTGGGGCTCAGACCCACAAACTGTGAGATCATGACCTGAGCTGTGAGATCATGCCCTGACCTCTTAACCAACTGAGCCACTCAGGTGCCCCAGTATTTTTATTTTAATGTTTTCTTTTAAAATGTTTATTTTTACTCAAAAGCATTTACTCTGTAATTTGAAAAAGGTCAAGATTCTTGCTGAGCCTTTTTACTTGAATTTGTGTGTGTATTTTTTCTTTAAGGCTTCAACCACTATGTGTAAAATGTCTCGATGGGAAAGAAGTAATCTATCTGGAGGCAGGGGGTTACCATTCTCTTGCACTTACTGCGAAATCCCAGGTAGGATGCAAACTATTAAAAACTAATTTTAATTTCATGGAAGGTTAACATGACCAAACTGGCCCATCATTTATTGAGTGTGTACTGTGTGTCAGGCAACAATACTATATCTCATTTGATCTTTGTAGTGTTTTACATTGCACTGTTTATATTATTTCCATTTTACAGATAAAGAAAGGGAGGTTCAGAGAAGTTACGTAGCTTGTGTAAAGTCACACGGGTGATAGTAGAATTTGATTCAACACTGGTCTACCTAACAAAGAAAGTTTCCATAATGTGCTCTTCCCAAAAAATAGAACTCAAGACTTTCCAGGATATTGATGAATTTTTACTTGTTTTTTGATGAAGAAAATCTGTAAATAAAACACTATGAAAAGAAAACAAAAGGTATTTCTTTTTTAAGGTTGTGGGACCTGGGTGTGCTAGGTGGCTCAGTTGGTTAAGTGTCCAGCTGTTGATTTTGGCTCAGGTCATGATCTCACGGTTCACGGGATTGATAGCACAGAGCCTGCTTGGGATTCTTGTCCTTCTTCTCTGTCCCTCTTCTGCTTGTGCATGCATACTTTCTTTCAAAATAAATAAACTTAAAAGATATGTTTATATGTTGTTAGACTAGAAACAGATCAGTGAAACAGAAATATACCTGTGGACTAGAAATAGACCCAAGTATATATGAGAATTTAATATAGGATAAGTGGGCATTTCCAATCATTTGACAAAGCAAGACTGAATAATCAGTAAATACTGTTGAACCATTGGCTTCTTATTTGCGGAAGAAAATTAAAGATAACTTCACGTAATCTACTTCCAGGTGGATTAAAAATGTAGATGTTAAAAAATAAGACCTTACATGTGTAAGAACAAATTTAGGTGGGTTTTTTTTTTTCCCCCCAGTAACCTCAGGAGTAGAAAAGGACGTGATCATCAAAACCATAAATTAGAAAGTAAAGATATGTTAGCCTATGTGATAATTCAGACCCTGTAAGTAGCAAAAAACACCGCAAACAAAATTAAGATATATAACAAACTGAAAAAAAACATTTGTAACATATATGATAAAATGTTACTATCTAATACTAAAGAAAAATTGTCGAATGAGATTTATATTCCATTCATAAAAGAAGAAATAGAGATGACCAGCGATGAATAAAAAGATGGTCAACCACTTAGTAAACAAATATACATTAAAACAACAGCAAAATATTTTCTTACCTGTCAGATTAGCAAGGATTGTATTTAATACTGTGTGCTGGTGAGGATGTAGGAAAAAGATACAGTGCTGACAAGAACATACATTGGACCTTGCTGGAAGACAGTTTGTTAGTATGTATCAAAAATCAGAATGTAGAGATTCATGGACCCAGACTTCTTTGCTTAGGAATTTATTCTAAGGAAATAAATAAATTTACACAAATATATATATTCAAGGATTTTCAATTTTTTATATTAAAAAATTGGAAAGAAATTATTATGTTTACTTCATTAGGTAATTGAATAAACTACACCCACAGTAGAGTTCTATGTAGTTATCGTGACTGATGTAGCTCTATATTTACTGACATAGAAAAATATCAGTGCATAGCATTAAATAAACACATCCATTCACTTTTTCTTTGTACTGTGACAGTCTTGTACAGTGACCATGAATTGCTTTTAAAACCAGAAGAAACAAAACCAATTTTCATTAAACATAGGCACTGTAATCCAGTTTCTTTTGTCTGTAGTGGAACATAGGTACTTGTGTTTCTCCTGCAGTGACTCTTCATATATGAAAAGGTGTTCTAGTTATGTCATAGTATTCCTATCTATAGATAAAAGAATCGTTGGGGTGCCTGGGTGGCTCAGTAGGTTAAGCGTCAAACTCTTGGTTTCCCCTCAGGTCATGATTTCACGGTTTGTGAGATCGAGCCCCGAGGAGGCCTCTGCACTGACTTTGTGGAGCCTGCTTGGGATTCTTTCTCTCTCTCTCTCTCTCTCTCTCTCTCTCTCTCTCTCTCTCTCTCTGTGCCTCCCCCACTCATGCTATCTCTTCTTCTCAAAATAAATAAACTTACAAAAAAAAATCATGATTAATTTTTCTTTATAGCACTTACCCGTATTTTTTATCACTTTCTTTGTAAGAGGCAGTGTAAGACAATTCCTGGGATTATATCCTGGCTCTGCCACTTATAAATTTGTGACTTCTCTGAGCTAGTTTCTTTATTGGTAAAGAAAGGATTGTCATGAGAATTAAGCATTAGTTAATACAAAGAGAATGTTGAGAACAATACTTGGCAGGTAGTAAACACTTGAGACATGTTAGTTGTTGTTTAACCCTTGGACTTTGTCTTCTAGTGTACTGTTTGCTCATTATCTCTGGTCTTGTTTAAAAGGGAATTTTCTCAGTATCTCTTATTTTAAAGAAGAAAGTAATATATGTGTAACTATTGGTGTGTGTATATATACATAGATACACATGTATATGTTGTAGAGGTTCAGAATTGACATGCAAAATCAGATTTACAACTCTTACCTACTTTCTTGTGATTTTCTAATAGGTTTACTCATGGGGTAGCAATACCTTTGGTCAACTTGGGCATTATGATTTTCCAACAACAGTTCCTCGTCTTGCAAAGGTACTTTTGAGAACTTGGTGATTTTTTATAGCAACTTATTTCAGAATTCTAAGTTATAACACTTAATATTTCTCTATTTTGTGTTTTAAAAAATTAGGATTTTATATTTGTAATCTAAATTTGTTTTCATGTACTTCAAGTTTTTTTTTTAAAAAAAACATGAAGCCCCTTATTTTCAGGCTAAATATTCTTTTTTTTAGATAATATGTTTATATTTCTTTTGTTCTTAGCTTCCATTGTACTTTGAATATTCATAATTTTTTGTCTTTAAAAATAAAAATGAAAAGTTCTTTCTTTTAAAACAAATGTTTCTGGGATTGTGATGTTGACTTTTGAGATTTACACTACCAAATAATGCTTATTATTCTCTGACTTTTCACTTAAGTTTGACTTTTATATAACGTAATGGTGGTGGTATTTTTTTGGTTTTTCTTACACACATAGTCATAGTAGTAAAACCTTTTTATAAATCTTTTCATTTTCTGTAGTGAAGCTGTAAGTATGGATGATTTCTTCACTGTGTATGAATTGGTTTTAGTTTTCAGTTTATGTAATGCTGTTCAGAGATTGGTAGCTTCTATCTCGTTCCTGTGATGCAATTCTAGAGGAGTGTCTATACTAAATTCTCATCAATAGTATTGGTTCCTTTTGTTTTTTTTAATGGTATTGACTTCTTATGCAAGGTTGGTTTGTTTTTTGAAGGGCAGAGGGCGAGGAGTACACATAGTGATAGCCTAACAGAATGGAATATGGAACTCCTTATATATTTGTAGTTTGATTATGCTATCTCCCCCATCCCAAGACATGCTCCCTCCACTGAGGGACTATAAAAAGGATGGTTCCTTCAACTTCAGGAACATGATTCACATGTAAACTACAGATAATACATATTCCAATAATTCATGTTTTCAGAGTGTCTGGTGCATCTATCACTTCATAAGACTTTTATTTGCTGCCTTTCCTTCTAGTGCACTTCATTTCACTGAGGGAAAGACTTAAATAAAACATTAGGGAACAGTTATTACTTCCTAGTTCCAATCTTAAATGTTTTCAGTATAGAACATTTCAGTGGTAAGCTATTTAATTACTGATATTTTATAACAAAAAAAATATGGCGTATCATTGTTCCCTGTTTTTTATTTCAGAAAAGCAGAACGTGCATTTATTCTTACCAAGGAAAGTTTTGTAACATAGAATGGAGACACTTTGGAAATCAAATTTTTACTTAACACTATACAGTTAGACAAGAGAGAATAAGATCTTAGTTTTGTTACTCATTAACTGTACATATAAAAATTACATCACCGGGATTTTGGTTTTATATTTATGGGAAAGATGAGAAAGACCTTCTGAAGTTGTTTTAATTTGTGAATTAAAAGTCAAGGTAGAATGAGATCTGAATTAGTTTTGATTAGAGACTAGAAAGAGGACTCTTCTGCAGAAATTTTAATCCATTCTTTACAAAGTTAACAGGAAGCCCGTTATTTGGATAGCCTGGATTTGAGGAGATGGTGTCATGCTGGAAGAAGATGGCTGTGAAGTAGTAGAGACATGCACACACACTCACACAGTCACCTAATCACCTAGGATTTGGAGCCCATCTAGACACAAAGAATCCAACAGATTAGAGGATTTTTGCTTATCAATATAGAAATCACAGCTAAAGCTGGGGCTGGAGGTTGGGGCAGTAGTTTTTATAGAACACTTTCTTCAAATGAAATCTGTGTAATCCCATACATAAAATGGATAAACATGGAGCTACTTTAGTTGAAGGATGGAGGGGGAATGGGGACAGAGTGCTGGCACCTGCACTTCCATGGTGGCTCCTGAATCACTACGTGGAATCCTAAGCTTTGAAAACCATTGGTTTAAGACAGGGGTTCTCAAACTTCTACACACATTGGCATCACCTGGAGAGTGTATTAAACCAGATTGCTGAGTCTAACCCCCAGTAGTAGCTCGTTGGCCTGAGAGTTTGCATTTCTAACAGGTTGTAGGTGATCGCTGCTGCTCTGCAAAGACTGCTCATTGAGAACCCCTGGTCTCGGGGATCCCTGTAGATGGGCTTCTAAGGGTCCTGCCTGTTCCAACATCCTGGGGCTTGGTACAGTGAAGTCACATCTGAGAGGTAGTGAGTTCCAAGTGGGAAAACTGAATTTTAGCGCTCAAGGGTTTAGTTGGTTAGAGTGGAATTTTGTCTTGTTAGATTGTTTCTTTCTGTCTTGATTTTTTTTGTACACAGTTCAGTGTGAATGGACAGAGGTGTGTCATAGCTGTCAGAATAGGGCTCTAGAAGTTTCTGTGCCTCCTGATTGTAATACAGGCTAAGAACTGTGGGGACTCCCACAAATAACTATTAAAAATTAGATCTATGGTTTTTCCTTTTTAAATTCCAGTTTTTCAGATTTTTATAAAAACAATCCAGTTCTAAATTTAAAAGCTGAGGGGGTGCCTGGGTGGCTCAGTTGGTTAAGCATCCAACCTCGGCTCAGGTCATGAACTCATGAGTTTGAGCCCCACATCAGCTCTGCATTCAAAAATAAATATAAACATTTAAAAAAAATAAAAGCTGAACAAGGGATTGCATCTGTGCTGCAATTGATCAGGCACATCACTGGGTGAGTTTTGCCCTCTGAGGTGTGAGTGACTTTGCACCACACCTGTTTAACCTGACATTTCAGTTCTGGTAGATCTGAATTTCTCTTTAATTCCTTCTCTTATCAGATAATTTCTTGCTGTTGTTACAGGTGAACAGTGAAAATGGAGTCTGGAGTGTAGCTGCAGGCCAGGATTATTCCCTGTTTTTAGTGGATACAGAAGACTTCCAACCTGGGTTATATTATAGTGGCCGACAGGACCCTACAGAAGTTGACAACCTTCCAGAGAATCACAGTGGTACTAAGACTCCAGTACTTCTCTCCTGTAGTAAGGTGAACAGGAATTGGATCCTAAGGCCCACATTCTGTAACACATGGGCAGTCTTGTTTTTGTTATTATTTGTATGTATGCCTATTATTAAGTATCTCACTACTGTATTTAAAATTGGAAACCCTTACCATCTCCCTTTACTCCTTATCTCCTTTTTCTGACTTATTTCCCTCCACAGTGCCTATCACCATCGAATAACCTATATAATTTGCTTTTTTTGTTTATTTTCTGTCCTCAACTGTAAGATTCCTAAGAGGAGAGATTTTAAGCTCTCTCGCTTACTGCTGTATTCTCAACAGCAAGTCCTTTATAAATGTTTGTTGAATTAACACTCTTGTAGGAATATCAAAAAGTATATTTCATAATAAAATTTCTTGACTGCATTCATGGAGCTCTCAGAGGTAAATTAGAATAGAATTGGAGAGAGAAGTTTTTTTTTTTTTTTTTTT